GTCTTAATCCTCTTGCCTTGCCCTTCCAGTGCTGGAATTACAGGCAAACACCCCCACTCCAGAGTCATATGAAACATTAAATAACTCTTGACAGCTTCCAGGCTCCCTCTGTTTCCCTCTATCTCACCAAAGACTATTCTAGCTTTATTTATCTATAGTTATCATTTTAGCTTTTGGAAACTGGATCATATTTAGGCTGGTCTTGAACTCCAGACCTTCCTCAGACTCTTGAGAGGGTTCTAGTTTTAAAATTTACATCTGGAAGGCACAATACACCCAGGATGGCCCGGAACCTACTACACAGCCCAGGTTGGCCTCAGACTGCAGCAATTCTCTTGCCTCAGCCTCTAAGAATGCTGGTGTTTTAGGCATGAGTCACAGGCTGTGATACCCAAGTGTAATGGTAATTTTTAAAAACGGATTTCATTATGGCATTTCATGTGTGTGTGTACATGCATATTCATTTGTATGTGGGTACATGTGCATGTGTGTGTACATGCATATTCATTTGTATGTGGGTACACGTGCATGTGCGTGTGTGTACATGCATATTCCTTTGTATGTGGGTACACATGCATGTGTGTGTACATGCTTAGGCTGGAAGTCACCCTCCACTGTCATTCCCCAAGAGCCGCCCACTTTTTACTCTGTGACAATGTCCTTCAGTGGCCTGGGGCTTACTGATGATGCTAGGCTGGCTGGCCAGCGAGCTCGAGGGATCTGCCCGTCTGTCCCCAGTGCTGGTCTGTCCCCAGTGCTGGGACTGCAAGCATGCAGCACCGGCTGGCTTTCATTTTAACTGTTTCAGAATGAGGATTCAGGGTTCTACTGAGGTCCTCGTGTGTGCACAGTAGGCATTTACCTACTGAGCCCACAATGGTTAATCCTTATTAGAAACCTGGCTGGCTTTAGAATCGTACCTTTAGGTGTGTCTGTGAGGGATTTCCAGAGAGGATTAACTGAGCATAAAGACCCACCGTCCCATGGGTTGGGGGCTCATGCTGAATACAAGGGGGAAGCAGAAAGCCACTGGGCACCTCCATTCCCTTCCTCCTTCCTGGCTGCCAGGATGTGAACTGTGCTGCTCTGACACGCCCTTCACACAGGACAGACAGACAGACACTTCTAAAACTGTGAGGGAGGAGGGAGGGAGGGAGAGAGAGAGAGAGAGAGGAGGGAGAGAGGGAGGGAGGGAAAAGAAAGAAAGAAAAAAGTAAGGAGGGAAGGACGAGCCAGGAAGGGAGGTGTTCTGCAGGCACCATTAGCTTTCAGCCTGCCATAAAGATCCCTTGAGGGAAGTAAAACAAACCTGCTACCTGCTTGAGGAGAGGAAAGGGAGAGACTTCAGAAAGAGAGAGTTCCACATTTTAGCTCAAAAGCATCATCCAACCGCAAGAAGCTTAATAACACGGTCTTGTAAGACGTGGCTGTTAAGACATGCAGTCTGTGGCCTGTACATGAATTCCAACAGTCTGACACCATACATTTGGAAAACCAATTCAATTTGTTCCAGACTTAAATTTCTAAAGTTATTATAAAAACGGTTGAGTAAGGGCAGCTCAGCTGCCAAGCCTGATGACTGGAGTTCAGTCCCTTGGACCCACATGATAGGAGGGAGCCAACTCATGCCTCCACACGTGTGTCATGGCACAACACACACACACACACACACACAAAGCAAAATGAAATAAAATTTTTAGAAAACAAGATAGCTGAATAGACACTGCAGTACCTGACTTGGCCTTTTCTGCTTTACATTCTTCTCTACAGCTATGGGCTCTCTTTCCCGTCTACAGTTCTCTGATATCTGTACGACAGACCACTCCATCTCCATTTCTCCAGCTCTAACTTCGCCTTTGTCTGTGTTATCTGAGCATCTCACTCACTTCGCATCCTGAACCCCGTCACTCTTTCTCTAGACACATTCCTTGTCAGTGAGACGGCAGAGGAAGCTCCTGCCAAGTCTACTCCTCTACGCTGTCCTCCTTCTGAGGCTTCGAAACAGCTGCTAAAGCTCCTAACATGGGGTTGCTTTGCGGAAGTCAAATCTGTCAGAGCGAGCACTATTCTAACGGTGCCCAAGTTGTTGGCCAATCTGGACCTGACATCGCTCTAGTACACAGGGAACAGCCCAAGATTCAGATCTTCCCTGGAACGTTAAGGAGACAAGGAGGTTGCTCCGGGCTGAAAACAGAACAGAGATAACAGCTGAACCCCCGGCAGGAACTCTCTTGGTTATTCTTGAGATGGCAGGTGGCTTTCCAGGTGGGTGGAGGAGAGAGTATAGTGAACACAGATGTCTCTCTTTCTCTTCCTTCCTTCTTTTTTCATCTTTCGTTTATTTATGTATTATTTGGGTGGTTAAGCCAGTGTTTGCAGAATGCCCCTGTTGGAGGGTAATGCCCATTGCATGAATCTTGGCAGACTGCAGGGCCACCACTCCTACTGTGGAAGCTTGGAGGGCCAGGGACTTCCCGTCTGTCTCCACCCTGGAGGCCTGAGCACATGGTGACCTGACAGTCGGAGTAAGAGAATGGAATTTACTCTGGCAGCATCAAATGTCAGCAGGGCAGCACAGGACGTCCAGCACACGGTGCCAACAGCTGTGACCAGCCAGACTGTCCCTCTAGTGAGAAAAAAGCTGCAAATTTCATGAGGTGAGTTCAGCTTTAAGGAAATAAGTGATTTTTCTGAAATTAGATGAGGAGCAATGAAATAATGTTTCCTTTATAAGTAATTCTTAACTCTCTGACACTTCATTCACAAAGTTGCTGGAGTATGTGGCTTAATACACATGTCCTAGTTGAATGATAAAAATATAACTGACCAGTGAGTTCCAGGACAGCCAGGACTACATACACAGAGAGACCCTGTCTCAACAACCAAACAACAACAACAAAAACAAACATGTAGTTGAAATAAACATAGTAACTGTGGGATTAAAACTTGGAAGATAGGACCAACAAGAAGGCTCAGAGAACGAAGGCCATTGCTCCAACCTGATGACCTGAGTTCACTCCCTGGGACCCACAGAGTAAAGGAGAACTGATCCCCACAAGCTGTCCTCTGACATCTACACTGTGGTATGTGGCACCCACCCCCAACACACACACAAATAAGTAAATAAATGTAAATAAAACTTTAGAAGACTTGGAAGATAATGCAATGTATTATTTGTTTCTATGTTCATAAAGTATCAATGAATAAACACAAGAGATTGAGATGAATATAGCATAGGAATAAATGTTTCACAAGAAATTGCAGCTTCCTGTTTTGGAGAATGTTAAAAGTTTCATTCAGCCGGGCGGTGGTGGCACACGCCTTTAATCCCAGCACTTGGGAGGCAGAGCCAGGTGGATCTCTGTGAGTTCGAGGCCAGCCTGGGCTACCAAGTGAGTTCCAGGAAAAGGCGCAAAGCTACACAGAGAAACCCTGTCTCGAAAAACCAAAAAAAAAAAAAAAAAAAAAAAAGTTTCATTCATCGGTTCATTCTATTGCTTTGGTTGTGATCGTGTGTAAATCCTGATAATCATGAAGACTCTCCACATTAATGTCGGAAAGGCTCAGAAAATCAACTGACCTTTTATTAAGACAACCAATGAAACTATAATAGGTTCTTTTTGTGCCAAGGATTAAAAAGAAGAGAGTCTGGTCATGTAGATAGGTTGACTGAGCGCCTGCTGCGTATACATGAGGCCCTGGGTTCACTGTCTACCAACTGGGCGTGGTGGCACCTATCTCCATTCCCCTGCACTGGGGATATAGTGGCAGAAGGACCTCAGAAATTCAAGGTCGTCCTGGGCTACAAAGTGATTCCAGACTAGCCTAGGATATCTGAGACCTTGTCTCTAGTAGTAGTAGTAATAATTAAAAAAGAATAAATGAGTAAAGCATACTGGGTAGAAGGTGAGAAGGGCCATAGGCGAAGGAGGGAACAGAACACATCTGGTTGAGGCTATCCTGATGCTCAACTGCATTTACCATATTTACTGCTAAACGATTTCATGGGCTCTTGATTTTTTGTTTTCAACAAGTAGCTGGATACACGCTGGTAAATGCTAACTATTTGGCCATTTGACATATTCCTGCTCTGAATTCCTTTTTACTTTTTTCCTTCTGGGCTGAGGAGTGAACTCAAGGCCTTGCATATGGCAATACACTTTTAACTAAAAACCAACAGTTCTTGGGAGCCAGAGACGAAGGATCAGGAATTCAAAATCAGCCTGGGCTACAATAAAATGTATTCTCACACAAAAAAAGAAAGCTAAATAAAAAGCTGGGCATGATGGGGACTGCCTGTACTTCCGGACATACCTCGGGAGGCCGAGGCATGAGAACCATCGAGGGTTCGAGGCCAGCCTGGCTGTCAAGTTTGTGACCCTTGGGTCGGACAAAGTCTCTGAGCGGTCACGGCAGCTTCAGCCCCGCTCCTTCCTGGACCATTTTGGGAACCGGCAGGACACTATGGAAGTTGCTTCTCCAAACACTGGCGTGACAGGCCGGGCCTCTCTCGACGCCTCAGGGTCTCCGAACGGCGACAACGAGCAGCGGGACCCACGACCCACACCTTGTCCCCGCCGGCATCCCACGCGCCGCCCAGGGGCCTCCGCCTCCGGCTCGGACTTGGGCCACGCCCCCGTGGTCTCTACGCGAACAGAAAGGGAGCACGAGACCGGGGACCGTCCTCCGCGCCTCCGCGGGCACGTCGGCCCAAGCGCAGGGCTCACCCCCACGGCGCCCTCCGCAAGCCGACCCGAGGAGAGCGCGCGCGCGCCGGGCCACCCTCGTGGGCGCGGGGACCGCGAACCGCCCGCCTGGCACGAGCGTCGGGGCGGTGGCGGCGGCCCACAGAAGGCCCAACCTCCCATAGGCCTGGGCCGCTCAGGGGGCGGGCTCTCGCAGCCGAAGCTGGCTGCGGATTGGTGAAGCCTCCTCGCCGAGGGCTCGGATTGGCGGGTGCCTCGGGCGTCCTCCGCGGAGGGGCGGGGCGGAGGGCGTGGCGGGCGCTCGGTCTTTCCTCCCGCTAGAGCGCGGGCGCCCCCGGGAGGCTGGCAGGCGCCGCCTGGGACCCCGGCCCAACTCCCCGGGCCTCTCGGGACGCGCGACGGTTCGGTTCGAAGTGAGGTAAATAGGCCGTAGCCGGCGCGAGTGTCGCGGCGCCGAGAGTCGAGACCCGGGCCGCCCCCGCGCGCTTGCGGCGCGGCGTGGGGCCCTGTGCGCGGCCCGCGGCCTGGAGGGCACAAAGGCTGGCCGGGGTGGGGGCGCCTCGGGCCTTGGCCTCCATCTTGCGGGGCGTGCGGGGCGGAGGCGAGCGGCGGGGCCGGGCGGGCGGCCGAGGGCCGGCGCGGCCTGCGGAGCGCGCGGGGCCGCACATCTGGCCGGCGCGCAGCTGGGCGCGCGTCGACCTTGGTGGCGGGGGATCGGCAGGTCACGGCCGCTCGCAAGTCGGCGGCCGCTGCCTCCCTGGCACAGTGAACGCAGCCGCGGAGGAAAGCAAGGCGTCTCATTTGTTATCTCGAAGATCTGTTCTTGTCAGCTGCCACCTGTAAACCAGTCCCTGCAGCCCGGGGGCACATGCCTCAGACCTGGTAGAAGTCCTTTATAATTACCAGCCCAGGTTTAATTCAGTGTGCGGTTTATAATAAAAACGAGCGGGAAACGGCCAGTGCCGGAGCAGGGTAGACCTCACTGGGAGTTGATGGGGGTGCGAAGACGCGAAAGGGGATGATCTGATACCTCCTGACAGCTTGGGACACTTTTTCGGTTTGAGCTTGGTTACAATAAATACAAGTCACTTCTCATTCTCTCCAGCAGTCTGGGTTAAATTCTGAGTCACTTGGGAATAGTGGAAGGAATTCAGCCTCACATCAGGAGAGCTTTTAAAAAGTTTTTCCCTACCCTTCTCTTTTTCCCTCAACCTTCTCTGGGCAGCCTTTATGGGCCTCTGTTTCGACACATGGCACTGTGTTGTGGTTGCCCCAGCCCCTAGCAGGATGCAAGGTCTGTGAGGGAAGGAAGCCGAAAGCTGAGAAAACAGGAACTTTCAAATCCTTTGAGTTGTTGGGTTATTCTTACAGGTTCGGGGAGCCGCTGAGCTCTCCGAATCGAATCAAACTTCAATCCCTTCCAAGCTACTAATTCTGGATAAGTTAACTTCTTTGTATCTCAGTTTCCTCCTCTGTAAAGTGGAATTCAGGCGCAGCACGACCTCCTCAAAAAAGTAGGTAGGTAGAATGATAGTAGCAATTCCATGGATTATAAAAAACCTAAGATTAAAAAGAGGTATTTCAAGGGACCTTTGGAGCACTCGGGAGGCAGGGGAAGGTGGATTTTTGAGTTTGAGGCTAGCCTGGTCTACATAGTAAGTCCAGGATAGCCAGAGCTAAGTAACACAAGAGATTCTGTCTCAAAATAACACACACACCCACCCCCAAGTACCAACCTGCCAAAGTATCAGAGATTTATTTTTCTAAGGTCTTAACATCCATTCAAGATCAGTAAGTGAGAAATAATTGGTTAAGTTTACAGTTGTATTATTTATTTTTGAGGCAGTCTTCCTGTGTAGCCCAGGCTGCTCTGATTGGGCATTCTTCCTGGTTCAGCCTCCCTAGTGCTGGAGTTATAAGATAGACCATCATGCCTGGTTTAGTGAATCATGTAGCCCAGGCTTGTCTGGAACTAGAGTTAATCCTTCTGCCTCAGGGTCCCAAAGTGTTGGCATTATAGGCCTGATGCCCAGCTTGATAAACTCACTTGTAATTAGTCTCTTAATCATCATGTAACAGCAAAGGGATGAGCCACTTGTCACTTGTCTGCCTTCAGGGTAAGATTGACTGTAGGAGTACAGAGAGCCCAATGTGACTGAAAAAACCCTGAGGGTGAGAGTCACCAAGGAAATGTAGAAACAGCATATGAAATTGAGTTGTGAATAGCTTCTTTATTAATATGTTCTCATGGAGAAACTGTCTTATTGTCTTCAAAGTTTCTCACAGACAACATGAAGAGTGGAGGAAACCCTTCTGTTTGCTAGGCAGACAAATGTGGACCATCACCCCTGGGCAATACTGCCTCACTTTGGTTCTCCTGTGTCTCAGGAAAGAGACTGAAACATATATTCCTTCCATCTGTAATTCCCTTTGGCATGCCTGCTTGTCTTTAAATTATCTCTCCCTTCCTTCCTTGTAACTCAGAAGAAAGATTCAAGTATGCAATTCTGGTTTTACTGTTCCAAAATTTACCTTGACTCCTCCTAAGGACTCTTACTCTTTCTGGGGTTCCCCAGACTTTGACATTCTGTAGCTAACCATTAAAATTGGGCCACAAAGGTGAGCTTTTTCAGGTGTCTGCTGCACAGGCATACATGTCTTCCTGTGTGCTGCCCTGTGCTAGGCATGTACTCCGTGGTCATAAAGCCATTCTAGTTGAGCCTTTCGAGGAGGCTGTAACAGTCCCGCTTACTACCTTGGGGTTTGAGGAACAGAAAGAACTGTTTAGCAATTTATCTGAAGATCCTACTATGCGGGTTCAGATTCCAGGCTCTGGGGGCTTAAGACTGCATTCTCAGCAAACTCTGAGGTGATGTGGATGCCTGGTCCTAGATTACACATTGTTTTGGTTTTTCTTTTTACAGCTGAGTCTGGCTTCACACTCTAGTGGTCCTACCCCAGCCTCTAGATGCCGGGATTAGAAGCATGAGCCACTGTGTCTGGCTGTAGGTTACACTTGGGCAGATACTAACCTAAGGGTCTGCATTTGCTTTTTGTTTTTGTTTTTAAAGCTATGGATTGGTTTTAGTTTACAATTCTGGGATAGAACTGTGCTTCATCCCATAAAATATATTCCTTTTGAGTTTAACTTTTAGAATTACTGGTAAACGGGTACTATTCATTTATTGCTGTTGTTGAGGTTTAACCCAGTTCCCTTGTGCATATTAAGCATGTGTTCTACCACTGAGCTTAAAGGTTTTTTTCATTGTGCGTACGTGTATGGTTATGTGTGCCACAGCGCATGTGTAGAGGGCAGGAGACAGCCTCTGAGAGTCCACCCTCCTTCCACTGTGAGTTCCTGGGATTAAACTCTGGGATTCAGGCCTGCATGGCAAGTGCTCTTACCCACTGGGCCATCTTGACATTGTTGGTTTGTTTTTGTGAGATGAGACAGGGTTCTATTTTGTAGCCTTGGCTAGTCTGGTACTCTGTAGCCCAGGCTTGCCTTGAGTTTCAGCCACTTCTCTAGCCTTAGCTTATTTAATTCTGGGAAAATATGTGTGGCCCCATACCTGGCTTATTTTGTTTGTTTGTTTGTTTGTTTGTTTTTTGAGACAGGTTCTCTATATAGTCCTGAGTGACCTGGATATCAATGTGTAGACCAGACTGGCCTGGCTTCGAATTCACAGAGATCTGTCTGCTTCTGCTTCCCTAATTCTGGGATTAAAGGCTTGTGCCATCATGCTCGGCTAAGTTCTTTGTCTTATTCCTGAAAATTACTTGAGGTATCTAAGGTACTAGCCAAATTAGCCAGGCCAACCTTCAAGTCTCTATCCTCCTGCCTCAGCCTCCTGAGTACTGGGATTGTAGGTGTGCACTACCACTCAAGCTCCCTCTAAGGCTGGAGAGATGGCTAGGTAGTTAGGAGTGCTTTTAGAAGATTGGTGTTTGGTTCTCAGGACTGTGTCAGGTGACTCACAGCCTCTAACTCCTCTCCAGGGGTCTTCTAGCTTTTGTAGGCACACACACTTGTGAGCATACAAACACATCAATAAAAAATAAAGTTCAAGTATGTATGTATGTGTTTGTGTTTGTGGTCTGTGTGTGCGCGTGGTTGGGTACGTGCCTTGGTGTTCCTGTGGAGGTTAGAGGACATCCTTGAATGTTGCTGCTTACCTTCCCCTTGGCTTTTAAGACAGTCTCTCTTGTGTTTGCTGCTCTGATGCATACCTGCTCCAGGCTTACTTGCCCATAAGCCCCCAGGGGACTCTCCTCTCTGTTCTTCCCTTGTCATAGTAGTGCTTGAATGACATGCACCACCATGTCCTGCTTTTCCGTGGGCTCCAGGGTCCAAGCTGGTGGCCAGACTTGTGCAGCAAGTACTTGTACCTGCTGAGCTAGTTCTCTGGCCTTCTAATATATTTTTATTGTAATAAGTTTTGTTTTTTTAATGTGTGTGCCTACTTGTCTGTATGGACATTATGTGAGTACAGGTGCCCACCGAGGTCAGAAGAGGACATTAGAGTCTCTAGAACTGGAATTACAGGTCACTATGTGATGCCCAAGGTGGGTGCTGGAAACCAAACCCAGGTCCTCTTGCAAGAGCAATAAATTCTCTTAGCAGCTGAGCCACCTCTCCAGCCCTGTAACAAGATTCCATTGAGAAGATTTTGTGCGTGTAAGTGTTTTGTCTTTGTGTTTGTAAGTGTGCCATGCCTGTGCAGTGTGCCCATGGAGGCCAGAAGAGGGCATTGGATCTCTTGGAACTGGCTCCCGTTCACAACTGGATGGTTGTGAGTCACCACGTATGTGCTGAGAACTGAACCCAGTTCTCAGAAAGGGAGAAATGAGGTAATATTATAATCTCAAGAAATAAATAAGTTTTAAAGGGTACTGGGGCTAGAGAGATGACTCAGAGGTTAGGGGTTCTAGAGGACCCAGATTCAGTACCCATGGGGCCTCCCAACCGTCTGTAACTCCAGTTCCAGGGGATCTGACACCCTCTTCTAACTTCTGTGGGTACCACAGACACAGACATACACGGAAGCAAAATAGCCATATATTTAAAAGGAAAACAAGTCTTAAAAAGAAAATAGAAAGTGGGTGCTGCTCAGGAGAAACAGCGTTTCTGTTGACAGTCTCTTGGGGAGTCTGCACACAGGATGCTTGATACTGAGTGCCTTTTTAAAAAAGATTTATTTTATTTTGTGTGCATTGGTGTCTGTGTGAGGGTGCCAGATCTCTTGGAACTGGAGTTTGCCATGTTGGTGCTGGGAATTGAACCAGGGTCCTCTGCAAGAACAGCCAATGCTCTTAACTACTGAGCCATCTTTCCAGCCCGTGAGTGCCATTCTTAATAGTATAAGTACATGCCTTTAATCCCAGCAGGCAGAGGCAGGTGGATCTCTAGTTCAAGGC